TAATAAATAAATAAAACTTAAAAAAAAAAGACTTGTCTGGAGAGATCATACATGTGGGAAGGGAAGCACGGCTATGCTGTTAAATGGGCTTGACACGCCAGGCACACTGCAAGCTACCCACCGCTGTGTTTCAGACTAGGGAGGCTGTAAGCTTTGCCTAGAGCAGCTTCTCTCCACAGCAGGCAGCACTGAGAATAAGAAACATGGAGTTCTCGGCTCTAAATGGGACATCTATATAATCTTTCCAAGGCTTGGGAACATCATGGACAAGATGGAAACAATCTAAGAGCCAGAGCTGGAGAGACGGCCCAGTAGATCACAACCCTGTCCGCTCTTCCAGAGGACCTGGGTTTGCTTCCCAGTTCCCACATGGTAGCTCACAGCTCCAGTTCCAGAGTCTGACGCCCTTTTATGATCTCGAAGGGCACTGCATACATGTAATGCATAGACACGCATGTGGGCAAAGTACCCATCCATGAGCCAGGGCTGTGGTACTCAGACTCATAGCAGCTGTCATGGTCAGCACAGACTCCAGGCTCATGAGGCTCCACCTCTGCTGAGGACTGATACCCAGCAAAGGTCGCCGAGGGAGGAAGGAGTGACATTTTCATCAGTGGTGTAGATGCCAGGAAAGGACCCACGGTCCTGTAAACAACCTAATAAAATGCAAGGGTGGAAGGGGACAGGATGGGAGAGCAGGCAAATGTGACCCATTCCACACATCATCATGATGTCCATTACTCATAATTAACACGTCCTAATGAAAACATTTTTCAGTCCAGGCCACAGTGGTGGCCCAGCACTCAGGAGGCAGAAGAGGCTGATCTCTGTGAGTTCGTGGTCAGTTTGTGCTGATATTTTGTTTGTACTTTAACAAATAGTTCGCCTGAAGATCAGAGTACGGAGCTAGCCACACTAGTTAGCCACAGAGGCCAGACAGTGGTGGCCTACACCTTCAATCCCAATACTCAGGAGATAAAGGCAGATGGATCTCCATGAGTTCAAGGCTACCCTGGGCTACAAGTGATTAAATTAGTCTAAAAGAGAAACAGAGCCAAGTGGTGGCTCACACCTTTAATCCCAGCACTAAGGAGGTAGAGACAGGAGTGATACGGCTAGGGGGAGGGGGACTATAAGGCAGGAGGAGACAGGAGCTCAGGATATGGTCTGAGGTTTCGTAGAGAGGGCATTCAGTCTGAGGACTTGAGATAGGATACCTCAAGTATCCTATTCGGTCTGAGGATTTTGTAGCAGCAAGAATTGGGGCTGGCTGCTCTGCTTCTCTGATCTTTCAGTTTTCACCCTTAATATCTGCCTCTGGATTTCTACTATTAAGACCAACTAGAAATCACGCCTCACTGGTCTACAAAGCGAGTTCCAGAACAGCCTGAAACCTTGTCTCAAAAAAACAAAAAGCAAAGCTGGGCAGTGGTGGTGCACACCTTTAATCCCAGAACTTGGGAGGCAGAGGCAGGCGGATCTCTGTGAGTTGGAGACCAGCCTGGTCTACAAGAGCTAGTTTCAGGACAGGCTCCAAAAACCACAGAGAAACCCTGTCTCGAAAAACCAAAACCAAAAAAAACCAAAACAAAACAAACAAACAAAAAAACAAAAAGCAATTTAAAAAAAGACTTAAAGTTACTAAAAATAATAAACAAACATGGATTTTGGGGTTGGATGCACACTTTAATAAAATAAAGCCAATAAGCTACTCACTTTGAAAAACATAAACTGCTCATTTAAGAAGAGTAGAGAAAGAGGCTGGAGAGATGGCTCACTGAAACCAAGTGCTCAAGCAGAAGGTCCAGATTCAAGTCCCAGCCACAACATGGAGGTTCACAACCATACATAACTCTAGTTCCAGGAGATCCAGTGCCCTCTTCTGGCCTCTAGTGACACCAGGCATGCCCATGGTGCACAGACATAAATACAGGCAAAACTCTCACACACATAAAATAAATAAATCTCAAAATAATAACTACTGAAGAATAACTGAAAGGAGGGAAGTGGGCTAAGTGAGGTGTGCGCCTGTTCAAAGCCAGCCAGCGCTAAGCAGTAAACGTAGGCCAATGAAGACCTGACACAAACAGCAACAAGTGAGACCTGGGGCTGGAACCAGCTTACAGTGAAGGTCCAGGAGACCCAAGTTCGGTTCCCAGCACCCACAACAGGCAGCTCACAGACACAGCTCCTCATCAGGCCCAATCTTCTGGATCCACCTGGATGTACTCTCAGACACACACACACAGATACACATGCATGAACTATAAAAATAAATCTTTTAAAAAGTTGGCCCCTGTGATCTGATTAGTTGCCCCCTCTTACCCCAGTGTCCCCATGCACCCCACTGCAGGCCTCCAGTCCCCAGCAGCTGTCACCCTTCTGGGTGCATGTGTCCTCGGCTCCTGTGCAGTCCCTGGCTGTGCTCTGAGCCCACATCGGAGCTCCCAGGTGCCAATTAGCACCTCCTCTTGGTAGCAGTAACCCTCTGGTCACAATGTGGACTCATGTCCACAGACCACCAGGCCTTTCCCTGCCCAGAGCCCCCCACGTGAGCTCCATGTTCACACGGACCAGAGCTCCTGGCTCTTACATCCATGTTCACACGGACCAGCGCTCCTGGCTCCTACATCCATGTTCACACGGACCAGCGCTCCTGGCTCCTACATCCATGTTCACACAGACTAGCGCTCCTGGCTCCTACATCCATGTTCACACAGACTAGCGCTCCTGGCTCCTACATCCATGTTCACACGGACAAGCGCTCCTGGCTCCTATACTCACAAGCCAGTGACAGCCTGAATTTCCTTCTTGGCCTCACAAGGATAGTTCCTCGCTCTGGTCAGTGTGAAAATGTGGGCAGTGAGTACTCCTAAGAAAACTCCTAAGTCAGATGCTCTTTCCTTCTGATTCCAGATCAATTCACAAATGAATATAAATGCAGGCAGTGTACTACAGCAGGTAAGTTTGCAAGTTCAAGGCCAGTGGTGCTACACAATGAAACACTGTCTCAAAAATGGGTGTGGGAACTAGATGGTGGTGGCACAAGCCTTTAATCCCAGCACTCAGAAGGCAGAGACAGGTAGGTCCCTGTGAGTTGGAGGCTAGCCTAGTCTACAGGGTGAGTTCCAGGACAGGCTCCAAAGCTACAGAGAGCCGGGCGGTGGTGGCGCACGCCTTTAATCCTAGCACTCGGGAGGCAGAGACAGGCGGATCTCTGTGAGTTCGAGGCCAGCCTGGTCTACAAGAGCTAGTTCCAGGACAGGCTCCAAAGTCACAGAGAAACCCTGTCTCAAAAAACCAAAAACCAACAAACAAACAAACAAGCAAACAACAACAACAAAGCTACAGAGAAATCCTGTCTTGAAAAGCAAAAGAATAAAAAATAAAAAAAATAAAGTGGGGGCTGGAGAGATGGCTCAGCGGTTAAGAGCATTGCCTGCTCTTCCACAGGTCCTGAGTTCAATTCCCAGCAACCACATGGTGGCTCACAACCATCTGAAATGAGATCTGGTGCCCTCTTCTGGCCTGCAGGCAGACACACAGACAGAACATTGTATACATAATAAATAAATAAATATTAAAAAAAAATAAAAAGTAAAATTGGGGGTGTGACTTAGTAGAGTGCTCACCTAGCATGCATGACATAAACAGGAATGGCAATGCATGCCTGTCATCCTGACACTTCAGGGTGAGGCAGTACGATCAGCGATTTGATATTATCCTCAGCTACACAGCAACTTTGAGACCAGCCTGAGCAACATGACTTCTTGTCTTGGAAAACCAAAATAAAGTAAATATTTTAAAACATCTATCATCTTTATAGAAATTCTTGCCAGACTGGGCGGTGGTGGTGCACGCCTTTAATCCCAGCACTCGGGAGGCAGAAACAGGCGGATCTCTGTAAGTTCGAGGCCAGCCTGGCCTACAAGAGCTAGTTCCAGGACAGGCTCCAAAAGCCACAGAGAAACCCTGTCTCGAAAGACAAAACAGAAAACAGAAAGAAAGAAAGAAAGAAAGAAAGATTGATTCTTGCTGGGCAGTGGCATGGCATGCCTTTAATTCCAGCACGTGGAAGGCAGAGGCAGGTGGATCTCTGTGAGTTCAAAACCAGCCTGGTCTACAAAGTGAGTTCCAGAACAGGCTCCAAAGCTACAGGGAACAACGAGAGAGGGGGGGGGGGGAGGAGGAGGAGGAGGAGAAGGAGGAGGAGGAGGAGGAGGGAGGGAGGGAATTCTGAACCCACCTCAGGATTTGACCAGGGAAAAAAGGTAACCCCATTGGACCAAAGGATTGAATTTGGCCCCTGTATCTGAGGGCAAGACCTCTAATCCAATCCTTTAGCCTGAGGTGAGGGGAATTTGAACCTAATGTGGAAGAGGTCTCAAAGAAAGATTCTATGCACTCAAGACCCTTTCGCCTCTCTCACAGTGCTCAAACTCCCCAAACACACTCCTATCTCTCACAACCCCTGGAACTTCCCGGCCATCAGGACCTACTGAGGCCCCAAAGGCAGACTTAAATGTCCCCTCCAACATGCCCAAGCCTTGTTCACCTACCAAGTCCCTAGACAGTTCTCTGCCAATCAGGACCTGTTAAGGTCTCCTAGTGACCTCAGTGTCTCCCCAGGCATTCCCAGGCTCCCAGGTGACTGGCCTCAATGTCCCCCTCCAGATATACCCAGGCCTCTTATTCCCTGCCAGGCCCCTAGACGGCTCCCTGTTCATCAGGGCCAGTGGAGGTCGCCAGGTGGTTTCAGGGGACGCCTTGGTCCCCTGCCAGGTCCGGGGGTCCTTGCACAGCCTCCCATATTACCTTCCCAGGCCCCCTCCAGCCTCCGGCTCCGCAGCTCCCAGGAAGCTCGGCCTCAGCTTGCTTTCAGGCGCGTGCGATTGCTCAGGACCGTGGCAGCCGGGGTCCCGGGACGCTCACGCCCTGGCGGGCCCAGGACAGCGCCGCCCCGGCCAAGAGGTGCGCGCCCATGGAGGCGCGGGACTCACCTGCTCGGGCGCTCAGGGCTCTGGCCGGAGCCACTGGCGCCGCCGGACTCCGCCATCTTCCACCGCGTACCCGACCCAGAGGGCCGCGCGCCGACCCGGAGACCGAGGCCCGGGCAGCGGGCGGGGCCTGCTAAGGTCGAGGGAGGGACTCGGTGGGTGGGCGGTGCCTAGGGCGGAGCTTGGGAGTCAGGGGCGTGGCCTGAGGGGAGTAGGGGAGGAGTCAAAGGCGAGCAATTGGCAGGGCCTAAGAAGCCTGTGGGGCGGGACCTGAGGCGGTGGGCGTGGATTGGGGCGGAGCCTATGAGAGAGGTGGAGCTTAAGAACGGGGACGGAGCAATGAGAACCTAGGGCAGGGCCTCAAGGTGGTCCCGAGGAGTGAGGGGTTTGAGGGGGTGAGGGCTGAAGAAGGCGTGGCCTGAGATCACTGAGGGGCCAGGGTGCGAGAAAGGTGGTCCAGACAGGGCATGACTTGAAGGGGGCTGGGCCTGACTGGAAGAGGCCTGTATCAGAGAGGACCTGTGGGAGGATGGGGTCTTTGGGGCGGGGCTTGGTCTGGGGAAGGAAAGGTTGGATGGCCTATGCAGAAAATGGGGCCATGTTACTTCCCAATATAGCCAGGAAAATGAGGGTGGCCTGAAAGGCGTGCCTGGGGTAGGTAGATCTATGCTGGACCAGGGGAGTGGAGGATTGAAGCTGCCCCTGGAGGAGGTCTGAGAGAGGCGTGGTCATAGGAGGGGTGGGGCATAGGTCGCGCCAGGACAAAAGGAAAAATGGAGTCTTGTGGGTAGAGATGAACTGACACTGCTGAAGGGGTGTGTCTGGTTTGGGAGGAAAGAGGCGTCGACGGAGAGGGCGGGCCTGGGTGGGGCCAAGAATAAAAGGGATCAGAACTTGGTCGGGTTGCAGGAGGCGGGGCTAATCATAATGAGGGGGAGGGTCTGGAGAATGCAAGGAGGGGCGGGATGGGGGCGCTTGTTATGAGAGGCAGACCGTGGCCTAGGTGTGTGTCCCGTCATGAAGAATGGGGCCAGCAAGTCCCGTCATGAAGAATGGGGCCAGCAAGGTTCAGCCTGCACACCCTCATGAGAGAGGGTACCAAAGACCCTGAGTTTCACCAAGACCTTGCCCTGAACCTTTCCCAACCTGAACCTATCCCTCTGACTTTCAATCCTATGCTCCAACTGCCTCAGTATATGAATACTCAGAACCTCCATCCTTGGGCCCCAACGTCACTCTTCAATGCTCATTTCTTTTCCTGTTTCTGCTGTTCATACCCCAGCTCCCATTGCCCCATCTCCCTGCTCACAGAGACTCATACTGGCCTCTGCCACAAGAATTTATACTTCCATGCCTCAGGAACAGCTGTCTCCCAGGCTGGCCTGCAACTGAACCCTCCTGTCTCATGCTGCTGAGGCATGCACTGCACCTGGCTGTCTTTCTTTTATTATCATTGTTCTGTCTTCCTTTCTTCTCTCCCTTCTGTTCCTGTTTAGGGCTCTGTGGAGCACAGAATCATTAAAAAGAGATATCAGGGCACTTCAACCCACTACAAGCCCATGGGAGGATGTAGACTACCAGGACCCTTAAGCCCTTTGCCCATTTATTCTTTAGTCATCTGAACTGACGACCCATTATGAAACTCCAAGCATAAGCTAGGCGGGGAGGCCTTTAACCACAGTGCCCAGCAGGCAGAGGCACAGGCCCTGTCAACACAGGGAGTTCCAGGTCAGACTGTCAGCTAGGAAAGCAAACACTAGCAAACGTGGGATTCACTCCTGCCGCCCCACTACTCGGAGTGAGGAAGTGAGATCAGGAGTTCAGGATCAGCCTACCTACACAGCAAATTCAAGGCTAGCCTGGGCTATGTGTGGCTCAAACCAACAAAGCACAATATGATAAAATGCAATGGAACATAGTAGGTGCTCAGACATTGTGTAAAATACCCAGGGCATGATACTGTGCAAACTGACAGGCACCCGCCATTGCTCTGCAAACACTGAATGTATTTCTGCGCTCTGGGGATGCACCCCTGTCCATCCAAGGTCAGTTCTGAGAACCTTGGTTCCAGCTGTGCCGTACCCACTGGCAGAGAGGCCCGTAGCTTGCACGCCCTCCACACATGTTGCCCCAATCAATGGTGTCCATATGTGTGCACACTTCACACTCACCCAGATTCAGCCCACATGTCAGACACACAACCACAGCCTAGAGAACGCAAGAAAGCACGCCTGGGGACCCTGCCTGTGCATCACCCCACTCTCAGGTCAGCAGGCTCTGGATGCCTCGGTGGCTTCAGGATCACATGGTAGAGGGCCAGCCAGTGCAAAGGTCACACATGGGTGTAAGCCACCATGTGGGTGTTAGGAGCTGGACCTGGATCCTATGCAAGAGCAGCCAGTGCTTAACCACTGAATCTCTACCCACTCATTTTCTTCCTTCATCTTTTTCTTGATTGTTTTGTTTTACAAGATGTTTAAGCTGCTTGTGGTGGCACACACTTACCATCCAGCACTCTCGAGGTGGAGGCAGAAGTGCAACCTCAAGCCAGCCTGGGCTATGCATCTTGGCACACACTCACCATCCAGCGCTCTGGAGGTGGAGGCAGATGTGCAACCTCAGGCCAGCCTGGGCTATGCAGCTTCTCTCCAGAAAAGACAGCAGGAGTGGGTGGCGCAGGTGGACCGCACAGCAGGGGAACACACATGACAGGAGAGGACTCCTGCAAATAGTTCTGCGTGTGCGTGCACACACAATGTGACATGTGCCCCCACTCCGTAATATAGTAGGTAGGTAGGTAGGTAGACAGACAGACAGACAGCAACTGTGTGAGTCAGTTCTCCTTTTCTACCAGTAGGCTCAAGGGATCAGTCAGATTCGGGCTTGGTGGTAAGTTCCTTTATCCACTAAGAAATCTTCCCAGGTCCTCAGGGCTTTTTTTTTTGGTTTTTTTTTTTTTTGTTTTTTGTTTTTTGAGACAGGGTTTCTCTCTAGCTTTGAAGTCTATCCTGAAACTTGCTCTGTAGACCAGGCTGGCCTCGAACTCTCAGGGACCCACCTGCCTCTGCCTCCCAAGTCTAGGATTAAAGGTGAGCACCACCAATGCCTGGTGTTTGTTTGCCTCAGCCAAAGCACACACACAAATGAACTGCCACAGACTGAAATCATCGCAAAGACCATCGTCAGGTAGACTGGTACGCATGTAGTCACACAGCAGCACTAGACATGATGTTCTCCAGGTGTGCACAGCTGTGTCAGGAAGAGCTCAAGGGACAGCAATGTGAGAAGGGGAAGAAACAGAAAGTCACAGCCACTCCTCATCCACGCAGACCTCTAGAGTGAAGCAGTGACTCCATGGGGATCTGAGGACAGGCTGGGTGTCTATTCAGGTGGCTTGGGGAGGGGGTTAACTGCAAAGATTTTCATCTGCGGGGTGCGAGTCTTGTCACAGGAACTGGATTCCTTCAGTGGGGTGGTTGTGAGGGGCTTGGCATGCCCAGAGCCATCTCAGCAAGAAAAGGGAGAGCAAGCTCACCTACTTTGCATTGTTTTACTTCTTTATTGTGTGTTCACGAGAAATGTTCGTGTTTTTGCATGTGTGTGGATGACAGGAGTCAGCTAGGGTGTCATTCCTCAGGAGATGTCTACTTTTTTATCTGTCTCTAAGATGGAGGCTACAGCTACTGTTGAGAATTTAAATACGCTCACATCAGACTGAAACCCTGCCCTCGAGCTCCAGAATATTTGGGAAATACATTCTACTGGAAAACATAAATCCATAGCATGCATACTGGTCAGTGACAAAGGCCACTCCAGATGATGATAACTGCACAGAAGTGGCAGCAGGTGCTTCACCCTAAAGACACGATGCCACCCCCTGCTTTAGCAAAAGTAAAAGACAACATTCTAGAATGTTCCAGAACATTTGGATATTTTGGGATCATTGTCAAGAAGGCCAGAATGTTCCAACACATGTCCATTCCAGGTGGACATGACGTAGAAGGTCCTAAGAGCCAGAAAAGACTGAAGGGAAAGTAAAGGGGCCACAGTGGTTCGATGGGAAGTGGGGGAGGGCAGAGCAAAGAGAGTGTCGACAAAGATGTATTGAGAACGGCTTCCTCAGTGTGTGGGACACAGCTGCGACCGAGACGCCCAGCGTGTCGCATCTGGCAGGGGGACCATTTATTAAACCAATCATCACAGAAGTGAACAAGCAACTGCTTAGTTGTCAACATGATCAGAACTATAGTGGAGACATTCTGACACAGGTTTTGGGCCAGAGTTGGAAGACTTGGGAGATTCCTTCAGACCAAAGAGCTGGTCAGGAGTGTACAGGGAACAGCCTTTGTGGGGACCAAGAGGCAACTTTAGTGTGGGAATCTGACCTTTGCCCTCTTCCCTCCAGGAGGCCATGAGTCCCCATCCTTCCCTCATAGTGTCCAGTGTGTCCATGTTGTTTATCTGCTGTAAAGAAAAGCCTGGCTCCCTTCCTACTTAGCCCTGGCAACAGAGTTACCCCCAGGCTGCTCTGTTGCCAGGGAACTAAGATGCTGGTTCCCATGGCAACCCCCTGCTACCTAAACACATGGGTGTTCCTGCAGCTTGCCATGAGTCAGTCAGACACCTAATGCCACCTGATCTACATGCCACACCAGATGGCAAAGAACAGAACCTTGGGGACAACTGGGAAAACTGAGGCTTAAAGGGCTGCATCAAAGTTAAATGTCTGTCAAGTAGTCAAACAGTCTTTTCTCTCCTGACATTCTAGTGGGAACCAGTGGGCTGCCCCGAAGCCTTTCTGACACACCCTAGGTGTCCCTGAGGTGTGACGAATCCTGTGACCTGAGTTATTGTGCTTAAGGACATGGCAGCCACAATCAGAGCACTAAAATGGTTGAAGAGAGACTCAAAGTAACACAAGCTTCAAACTGGATCAGGGGCTGGGGCCAGCACTGTTGGTAATGCACCTGTCCAGCACACATGCGAAGCCTGTACCCAGCACTGCATAAATCAGGAATGGTGGCCATGCGTATCATCCCAGCACTTGGGAGGTGGAGGCAGGAGGATTAAGAGTTCAAAGTCAATTTCACATACTTCAATTAGAAAGCGCCTGGGCCCCATGAGACAAT